TAGTAACCTTTTCACTGCTACGGACGTACTATTACGTCGCACGCAAACATACCGTTCCCTGCTACGGACGTACTATTACGTTCCTTTATCTATAAAACGAAATACGCAAGTTATCACATTAGTGATTACACCGAAAAATGCAGAAAAATGAAACGAATTTAACGGTAAAAAAAAACGTTTCTATGTTCATTGTAGTAGCAATGAAAATTAATTTAACTTATTATTTATTTCAGTGGTTACTAAAATGGCGATGTTGTGTTCTGTGCGCGTTATCTGTTATCGGTTTACTGCACGGACGTGTATACGTCCGTGGTTTACTGCTATAATAATTATAATTATTATAAATGTATACCTAACTAATCAAAAACTATTTTGATAATAATATGTTTGAATTCACTACTATGGTATCTTGGTATCTTTATATAAAACAATAAAATGAGTAAAATGTTTAGTCCGATGTTATTGTGCACCAAGTTCGTACATAAATTTGATGTAAATTTTTATAAAATGTTATCTGACGCAAAAATTTTAGARCATTTAGATGAGATTATACTTGATTATGATTCAGACGACGATTTCATCAATGAAATTGAGGAATTTGATGAAAAAAACTACGAAGAGTTGATAGGTATGTTTGTTTGATTTATTCAGTTTTTTTTTTATTTGAATAAGGCTTTGACACCCGAATTCGAAATTATTCATAGTGTTGTAACTCATTTATAAGTTACAACAATGAATGAAATAAAATAAACATATATAATTGAGCTAGTATAGTTTTGTACAAATGTATAAATTCAATTTGTACATAATTATAATTTCATTATGTATCCATTTTTTTTATATCATAGAGACTGAATCARATAATTGTCAAAATAATACAGTACATTTTACACCATGTACTACAGCATCTTCTACACAGCAAAGAATTCTTCYTTCAAAACAACGTAGACCAGTATCAAAAGAACAAATAAATCCGAAATGGAAAAAGCGTGGAGTGTTTGTACCTAAGGTTCACCATTTTGATACATCTAAGGTAAAATAATAATTTTAAAAATAATAAATAAACAAGTACATAACTGTATGTAATTCAAAACATATTAGTATTCTACAGTTTTTGATTAATTTTTAAAGTGGAATTCAAAAAGCAGAATTCGAGCTATCAGAAGAATCAACTGTGTTAGACTTTTTTGAAGCTTTTGTGTCACCCAATTTATTGGGAAAAATAAGTTTTGAAACTAACCAGTATTGCCACAAATATAATATTCAAACACCATATTCCAGGTATAAACCAAATAATAATGAAATAAACCATTTTATATTTGTATATTTTTTTTATAAAATGTTTTTAGAGTTACTCRTTGGACAGACAMCCAATTTGAAGAACTATATGTGTTTTTGGCTTTGACCATGCTAATGGCACGGAATAAAAAATTAGAGATATCTGATTAWTGGTCCACTGATCCACTTCTACATCAACCCATTTTTGGTCAGCATATGAGTCGTGACCGTTATTTGTTGTTACTTAGAATGCTCCACTTTAGCAACAACGATGAGCAAATACCTGGGGATCGGCTTTCTAAGATTCGAATGCCATTACAAGAAATAACTAAAMATTTTAAAGATGCCATGATACCATTTGAAAATCTAGCAATAGATGAAAGTCTTGTTCTGTGGAAGGGTCGTCTTTCATTTAAACAATTTATTAAAACAAAGCGACACAGATTTGGAATAAAAATCTTTGTTATTTGTGATGTAGAAACTGATTTCATTCTAGATATTCTAATATATACTGGAAGCACAACAGAATATAAAAAAACAGACCCAAGCCTCGGTATATCCGGAGCTGTGGTAAATACATCGATAAAGCCATACTTGAAAAAAGGTCACGAGCTATTCATTGATAATTGGTATACTTCACCTTCGTTAGCCATGTTTCTTTACAAAAAAAAAACAAATGTCACTGGAACTGTTAGAAAAAATCGTAAAGGAATGCCTAAACTAACATCAAAACTTGAAGTTGGTCAAACAGAAAGTCAACACACAACAACTATGCTAGCTACAAGGTGGAAAGATAGAAGAGATGTTTACATGTTGACAACACAATTTGAAAATAAAATGATTACTATTGGTAAAAAAGATCATCATGGAAACCAAGTAAATAAACCTCTATCTGTGTTGAAATATAATGAAAATATGGGTGCTATAGATAAAACAGATATGTTGTTGAGCTCAATTGAATG